AAGTACTTCAATAAAATTTTGAATGTAAGACACTAAAACCTTGTGTCGTGTGCAGTAAAGGATATCTGGGATGATATGGTTAATCAAAATTAGTGTTTGAGGTTATTACTGTTTTCAATTATTCAGACTATTGAAATATTGCCCAATTTTAGATTTATAAGTTTGAGTCTTGGATCTGATTCCCATTGCCGCCAGACTTACTTACCTGTTTTTGTCAAAAATTTTAAACTTCTGACTAAAGGGAAAGCAATGGGTAGGTTTTTAGAAATACAGGAATTAAATGAATGTAAGTTATTACTGGGACTTTTGATTAATTGATTAGCAAATACGATTAATCACCCTTCTCTACGTAAAAGATATCATTTATAATTGAAATGTTTTTCATTGTCTTTTGTGTGATTGAAATGAGTTGTGATTCATAGTTTTGTTTGTGCTTACCTTCAAATCTTTCAGCAAGTTTTTAAAATAATTTGGTGCTACTTGATGTTCAACAAGATGTATTGATATCTTAAACTGTTTTACTAGTTATTGATGTTTTTAACATATTTTCTTATTGTATTTCTCTTTCAAGTGTAGCTAACCAAACTGATTTTGAGAAACTGGCTATTCCCATAAGAATCTATTACATCCTGTAAATAAATAATGATAAACATTATGCAGGGATTGGTCTCTGTAGGGAAAATTTTAACCATCACCTTAATGGTACTCTGCTTCACATACAGATACCTAAAACTAATATTTTCTTCTTGTAATTTAACTTCTCTCTTTTGCATAATTAAAGATCAAAATGCTCTCAGAATATGGAAGATGGCAGCTAAGATGGCGTACAGTTGAAGAAGTTTCTTACCTTGTACTGTTTGTTTTGTAATACATGTTGATTTATTATAGTATTTTGGCACTTATGTATAAAGTTAAAATCATAAATAATATTCAATGTGAAACTGGTATAAATACTTTGGCAATTGTCTTGTAATTCACTCCTGAGATGACGTTGTAACGTCGAAACATGTAGAGTCGTCAACTTTTTGAAGACCATAGATAGGCCTAAATAAAATGTTTTTAATTGTGTATCAGTTTAATGTTGAATGTTATTTATGATTTTAACATATTGATTTGTTTGTTTAATTATAGTATTCTGCATTTGAATATATCTTGACAACCCAACATTCAACTAAATAATTGCTATTGCAGATTTTGTTGGACTGGGAATGTAGCCAAGTTTCAGTTTTAATTGGATCATTGGAGTTCAGTTGTTGGTGTTTGGAAATGAGCTTTTAGAAAATAAAATATTCTAAATATATGTGATTGCGTTCTGATAATCATGTAAGCAAAACCCGAATATGAGCCAATATTATCAGTGAAATAATATACCAATCTAGATATATTCCACATAAAGATGTATTAAATTTTGACTTTTTATAAGAACAACATAAAGTTCTTTAAACAAAGGCTTTTTAAATTAAATATTCTAAATAACAGCTAGATTTACATTTTGACGTTTAAAAACCAAAGCCTCTAGTATTGAAGGACTACTTGTTGCAGTTGAATATTTTTATACTGCTTTCATAGGCATAATAGTAATTTCATGAAAGGACTCTGTGTAGTGTTTAGTTTACTTGCATTTTTGTTGTGAAGATTAAGTTGGTATTGTTCTGTCACAAGGCAGATATTGCATGGTACTTAAATGCTTAACCACTTGTATATTCAATACTACTAGCATTACTGTATAATTACTGTTGACTATTTACCATTTTTTGTGTCTGAGAGTTTTGCTTCATAATTTCAGTCACTGAAGAAATGTTATCTGTTAGTATTTATATGAAAAGGAGAACTATATTAAGGATTAATCATGGGATAATTTGTTTCTAAAAACACTGCAGAGCAGGAACTGCTTGGCAAAATAACTGTGTAGCAGTTGAAAAAATGTGTTTAGCAATATACCACCATATGACTGTAACTTTGTCTTTGGTATATGCAATCAGACAAAAAATAAAAATTCATCAACATCGAAAGACTGTTTATTTTCTGTAAAAAAAAAGAAGTATTTTCTTACTATAAGTTGTATTTCTATAAATTTTTCACCTTGAAAATGCTAATGTACAGTTCCTTTCCTTATTAGGGCTATTTATGTCATTTATTTTTTATCCAAAATGTCTTATCGTTGGAAATAGAAATTGGGCCTTGTTCTAAAAAGGGTACATGTATGCAGTAAAGTTTACCTGTGTTCATATAAGCAGCTAAAGAGAACAGATTTTGTCCTGAAGTGGTTTGATCAAGTATTATTTAATGCTTACTAATACTCAGATAATCTGAATAATATATCTCAGAATGTTTGCGTGTGTGCGTGTATATATATGTATCTAAAATTTTGTAGTGACGTGGGTAATTCACCTTGACAACTTGAGGCAAAACTTGAAATTATGGATGTTGTATGAAACAAATGCAAGCACATTTTTCAAAATATATGTTTTTCATTTACACATACAAAATTGATACTGTCATGCAACACATTTCATTTATCTGCATTCAGAATGGCACCAGTAAGTGAAACAATCATATTAATCACAATTATAGTAACATTTCTATATTCAGAATTGCAATATACATGACTGAAATGTATGTATCACTGCTGTATTAATAATACTTGACAGTAAGAATCTGCAAATCTTCCTTCCAAAATGTGTGATCTATACAAGAAGTTTTTTTATGGTGCTTTTTGTTTTTTTATTAGCCAAATTGCAACATTATCTAACAATTTGGTAGTTTATTGATGTTAATTTCAAGCTCTAAACTTCAGAGTAGTTTTAAAATACTTTGTTATTGTTGGTGATTCCTTGTTTGAAGTAATTTATTTTGAAGTATTGCTTTTTGAAACAACAAAATGTTTTTGTCTTGTTTTGTTAAAATAAAACTAAAGGAAGCTTGCTATAGTGTACTGAGAGTTGAACTGTATAATAGTATTCCTTGTCTTGTAGTAAACACATCCTTAAAAAAAAAAATTCCTTTTGTCTACTCAGTTTTGTTAATCAAGGATGGAAAAAAAAGTTGGTGTTAAGAGTTCATTATAATAGTTCACTCAATTATTGTAGGCTATCTCTAGTATATTTCCTTCTTTGAAGCATTCCTTGTTTGTGTATTTGTGAAATTATGTAACGTAACAGTTTTATAAATGTTGTGCATATGATGATAAGTACATTTTTCAGTAAACAGAACAGAATTAAAAAGCTAACATTTTTTCTTTGGAAGAGACTTTTTAAAATTTCTTTTTATGATAGTATGAAAATTACTTCTGAAAATCTAAGGTAACCATCCAAATTTTTTATCTCAAATTGAACTAGTCTGTTACCAGTATTTATATTTATGTAACATGTGCATAGATGTATACACAATTTGTTTTCTGGGGTACTGTAAAATAGTAATAATTTTTCACATAATAGATGGTGAGTTCAACATGTGGGGAGACAGTGGAAATAACTGGAAGAAAATAGTGTTTAAGGATTGTAGTTTAAACTCGTGGTCCACCTCAGGAGTGAGGAAATGTGAACCTTATCAGGAGGAAAAATTGTCATTCCTCTATTTCTGAATCTGTGATATCAAGCTCAAGTTACTCTGGTGTTCAGAGTATATCATCAAACTCTACTTCTGGAAAGCAAAACTTTCCTAATTGCAATGCTCATCTTGGAATGAAACCTTATACTAAAGCTTTTCTGCCAGCCATTCATTGTTCCAGCTCTTCCACAATGGCCGATACAAGCATCTTTGGCAGTGGCAACAGTACTCAGAATGCACAATCTGTCAAACACAATGAAAGAGAACAGAATAACACATCTCTAGTAGCTGGTGCAGCTAAAGGTGATAGCATTGGACCTCATGAAAAGAGTCCTAACCCCACAAGGGCCAAATCCTCAGAAAATTTATCAAATTATTATACAGTAAGTTATCCTTGCCAATTAAAGAAAGAAACCCCACAATATGATATGCAACTAAATCTGCACAGAAAGGACAATGCAGATGCTTCTAATCGCTCATTAAATTTTACAAAAAGTTTTCAGTTGCTGGAGGAATCTTCATCTGAACTTAACTTAGATCTCCTCAGGAATCTTAGTCATTCTGCTATTTCAGATTGTTCTGAAAGGATAGAACTAAATCAACTCAAGTCCACTAATGATGTTGCTAACAATCTTGTTTCAACATCTAAACATTCTATAGAATCTTCAAGCTTTTCTATGTGTCATCAGGAAGAGAGTAGTGTTTCTAGTTCAAGTAACAAATGGCACATTCCAGGCGATGCCAATCAAAAAACATAAATTCCCCAACAACTTGGAACAGTCATTTGCAAATGAATTATAGAAAAAAAGAAGACAGCTTTTATGATTTTGAAAAGTTAGAAAAGAGATCATATTCTTTCCAGTCAGAAAATGACAACGAAATGTGTGATGAAAGTTTTGAAGTTCTTGTTGGTGCAGTTGGAGGATCTAATTTACTAGTAAATGATACAACACCTGAGACAAAAAAGAGGTCTAGATGTGAATGTCTTCCTCCAAGACTTGGCTTGTTAGGTGGAGGAGAAAGCTCTTTGAACAATGGTACTTCAACATGGGGAGCTCCACCTTCTTCTGGACCAGGCACATCCAGTTGGGGTAGCAATAGCAGTGGAAGTAATAGTGGGCAGTGGAATTCTGGAACCAGGCAGAATGATGGGACAGGTCAAGGTAAGCATAAAGAGCTATTAGAACATTTAAGACTGGCAACAAATTTGTAATTTTTTCAATCCTATGTTTAACTCTCTCTTCACGGGCTCACTCGAAATGAACGACCAGACCTTTTTGTACTCGTTGTAGTTTTGATACCAGTAACTTTTAATATAGTATGTGTATCCATGTTAAGATTGAAAGTACTTTTCTTTATCTCAAAAATTTCAAATTTCATTTGTGTAATCTCTAAAACCTTCTAAATACATTTCAAATTTTTTTTAAAGTAGAACTATATTTTGTCATTTTCTCTACCCTAACTCTATGCAAGGTTAGTTAATCTGAGAGACCTCGTAACCACCAAATCAAAATCGATCTAAATTACCCTATTTTCTTTCTAGAATGACTTCAATTGGTAACATGAAACTACATTTCTTTATCCTAAGTAGATTTAAATTTGTAACAGTATACATCTATTTATACTTAAATTTTATTGTTTTATTGCCCTTTGAACCATGTCTAACTAGTATTTGCATCACTATAAGTGTCAGTTGAGCTGCTTGCATACCTTATGAAAATTTTTTATTATTATTTATTTTACTTTTATAATAATTAATAAAGAATACACATGAAAACCAAGAAATAAAGTACTCACCTTGGACTTCTTTTTTTGCTGTCAGTGACACTTAACCCTACTTTTTTTATACTAATGGCAGTAGTGCACTAAATAATTTTTATTTAATTAAATAATGCACCAAAGAACATAGAATAATAACATGCAAAAAAGCAAACAATGTGTCATAACTATCACAGTTATTTTGGCTTGCTTTCTAACTATGCAACAAGTATTTACAAATTCATCCAAGGTTGTCGATATGTTTCCTATGGGAATGAAGCTTCTATTGAATAAGAAATTGACAATTCTCTGTACAGAAAACAGCATAAGATAATACATCATTTGGTTGATGAAGACCTTGGCTTTCTATTGGTTATAAGTAATGTAGTATTAAGTGTAAGAGAACTATTAACAAGTCCTGAAAGAGAGGATGTGACAGGTGGGTATGGCAAGAGAAGATTGATTTTCTCTTTGTCTCTGTAACCAAACAAGATTTAAGGCTATGAAAATTATCCTTTGTCTGAGTGATGACAAAATTATAATGAGTAATTTATCTTAAATTTTGTACTTCTTGGAGGGGTGGTAAGTCAATTAGATAAAAGGGGGGATGCCTAGAGAAAATGTCACATTTCTCTCACTAGGGGAAATTCAGGATTTTTTTAAATATTGCCTTATAATATTAAGAACTTAAAACTTTTATACTATTAAAATATGGATTATTAGCTATGATTTTTTGCTTACTAATTGATATAACATAAAAAGTTGTTTAAATTTTGAATGTAACTCACTAAAAACCTTTTAACATGTGCAGTAAAGGATGCTCATGGCGAGTGGGTTAATGCAGAGTCAATGTGTGCATGTCATGATATGTTAGTTACATTCAAAATGTAATTACATTTTGATGCCAAACTTCTTGACATACATTAACAATAAAGTTAGTTTGATTCAAATTTTTATATTATTTAAATTTAATTTCAAAAGGAAATATTTAATAAGTTGTGAATTCCAGACTTGCCAATGCCTGACACATCTTCCATGAGAAAACAAATTCAGGAAAGTAAGAAAAAAGTAAATTTATAGCTTATTTAACATTATGATAATAATCTACATGTATTGTAAGTTGGTTACATAACTCTCGTGGAAATTCTTTACAAATATGAAACTGGTGGATGAAATTGTTTGTAATTTGACATGAACTTTCCTAAAAGTATGTAGTTTCAAAAAAATAAAATATTTAGTTGTTTTTTTAATTAAAAATTCGTTATCTAATGTAGTTATTTGCACTCAGACTCTGAATAGTTCACTTGCAAGGTGTTTTTTTATTTTGAGTATAAAAATACTATTCTTGATCTTACAGTTTTAACATTTCATTTGCATGAATTCTAGAACCTTTGAAATGAATATCAAGTTATTTTAAGGTAAATACATTTTATTTTCCATTTTCTCTACCATGTTACTAACTCAAGCTATTGTGATCAACATAGTCCATTGAAATGATTAGAATTAAGAAATTTAAATAATGTACTTATCTTCTTAGAATAGTCTTAAAATATCTTGTTTGGGTCATATGTGTAATTTCACATTTTTATCTTTTCATTTATAGTTTATTTTTAATGTTTTATTTTTTTCTTCCAATTCTATGTCAATACATCAACTGGTGTCTGCAGGTTATTATACATTTATGATAGGCAGACTCCGAGCAAAGATGTGTTTGCCACATGCAAAATGGCATTTGCACGTGCCTATTATTATAAGCGTTCACAAGTGAGTCTACCACAGGTAAAACTAAAAAAATCGTTAAACCTTTCAAGTATGAATTTTAAAACCTAAGTGCAATTTAACTGTCTATCGGTCTAATATGCATAAGGTGAGAAAATATAGCGAAGTGCTAAGTACACTTCTCTAGACAATGGACTGACTTTCATTTCTAATTCACATGTACAAGCCCATACACTCCAAACATTTCTTGGCTTACTTCCAAAAGTAGTGTGTAATCTGCAATTTCTGTTGGTTATAAACATGTCATTTAACTTAAAACTATCGCTTAGCAACAGAGCTTCTACTCTGGAATTTTTACAATTGTTTTTGTCAGACTAGTTCTTGGAAGTATTCAAATTACTTCTAAAGAACTTCAAGGTTGTACTTTGTCTGAAATAAGGCAGTCAACATTCTTGCACTTGTTTCTCATTTTCCTGGCTCCTTTTTATGCCATTCTGTTTTGGGGGATGTCCCTGATGCTTTAGTCTCAGATGGAGACTGTGTGCCAACATTCCACTATCTCCTCTCTTGGTTCTTGTCTTTGCTAAACCTCTCCTGTTCTTATTCATATCTCATCCTCCATCATCCTCACCTATACCAGTTCCATATTTCTGTGTTTCAGCTATGAGTTCTCAGATCGACCACCATCTCCTTTTCAAATTCTAGTATCATTGGTGACTACCTCTTGTGTTCCATCATCATATGATGCAGTTGATCAGGTTTGCTCATCTGTGGTGTCCTTTTGCTGCAGTTTCTTGGGTTCTAGCAGAAGTACAGTTTCTTTGTTTTCCCACTCCTCCTCCATTATTTCCACTTCCCATTTCTTTTTCTAATCATTGGGATACAATTTCTTGCCAGCATCTCTCTGAGGCAGTTCAAGATCTCATGAGGAAGGATGCTATAGAACAAGTGTTTCTCTGGGATCTTATTTTTTTCTGCTCGTTGTCCCCAAGAAAACTGGATCTGCATCTGGTTTTCAATCTCTCAAACCTCAACTGCTTCATTGACATCCCATGTTTCACCATGAAGTCTTTTTCTCACACTCAGATGATCATTTACTCCAGGTCCTTGGGTAACCAAGGTCAATGTTTTGTATGCTTACCTTCATTTCAATATTTCTCCAGCATCCCGTTGTTACCTTTGGTTTGTTCATGATGGTTGGGTGTCTCAGTTCCATGCTTTACTCGCCCATTCAGTCTGGTATCAGTTTGTACATCTTCTGTTGTGTATTCAGAGCCTTTGCCTGTCTTATTCACAGCCAGGGACTGCAATTTTACCATTAAATGGATGACTGCCTCCTTTTAGTTCCTTCCCAACAAGCCTCTCACAATCATACCCATTTGCTCCTTCAGGAGGCAGCTTGTTTTGGTCAGCTTATCAAATTGGAGAAGTCCCATTTCACCTCCATCCAGTATTTTATTTATCTGTTTTTCATCACCTTTCTCGGAAGGGCCCAGCCTTCTCCTCTACATTTCAAGGATATGGAGTGCTTTGGGGGACCTGGGCCTCCATGGTGTCCCTTATCCCTTGGGGTCATGCTCACATGCATCGCCTTCAATGGGTTTTGCAAGATCAATGGAACCTTATTTGGGATCCCTTGTTGGGCATTGGATCATTTCCTGCCTGTAGCATGTGGGCACTTGGTCGTTACTCATTCTGACAGTTCTGGTGGTTTTGTTTCTAGCTGTGTACTCCTCTTCTAATTGCCTTTGTCACCCAGATCAATACCAAACTTCCTCTCTTCTAGTCTCCAATTCTGCATCCTTCAGCTGTGGATGTATTTGGTCAGGATAGGTCCAGTCTTTAGCTGTATACTCATCCTCCCATTTGTTTTTTTCCCTGTGTTCTTTCTCTTATTCAAACCACTCCATGTCGAGTCCTTCTCATTGCTTCATTCTGGCCTGTACAAATGTGGTTTCTACTCTTGAACCTCCTTCAGTCATCACCTTCTGTACCTCTTTCTCTCTCTCCAGATCCCTTCTCCAGCAATCTCATTTCTCCTTCTTTCATATTACTGTGGCCACACTCCATGTGTGGCTCTTCTCCAGTCCTTTGTGAAGTATTCTGGATTCTCTATGTGAGTAGGTTTCCTTCTTTCTCTTTCTGTCTGCTCTTCTTCTTTGCAGGTTTACTAGCATAACTGGTGCATTTTCCATTGCTGGTCTTTGCATCATGGCTTCTCACCTTCCAAACCTTTCCAATTTTGTTTACTTGGCTCTTTGACAATGGTTTATCTGTTCCTACCATTGCTTGATATAGGTCGACATTATTAAATACTTTTCTTTTTCCCATTTACACCATATATTTTCCTCTCCCATCAATTCTCTCCTATTCGTTCTTTTTGCCTGCTGTGTCCTCTCCATCCAGTTGCCCTACCAGATTCGAACTTAAATGTTGTCCTTCAAGCCCTTACCCTTTCCCCTTTTAAGCTTTTAGCCTTTTGCTCTTTGTACCATCTCTCTCTTAACTTTTACTCCTCTTTGCCTGTGGAAATCATAAGTCAGATATCTTTGCTATTGATGTTTTCTGCATTCTTTATAATTATTCATATGTCCTTCTTTATCCCAGTCATAGTTTTTTTCCCTAAACATCACAGATGCATGAATGGAACTGCACATTCACACTTAGTTCCCTTCTGTCTATTTCTCATCTATATTCCTTTCTGATCCCGATTGTCATCTTTGTTCTGTGTGGGCTTTTCCTTCTTGTGTTGCCTGCATATCATCTTTTTTGTGGCTCCCATTCTCCCCTTTTTATCCCATGAAACTCCTCCTCTGCCTAAGATCTCTGTCCTGTAATCTTTACTGGATGGCCTTATCAACTTATTCCTCTGGTTTATGGGTCACTGTTTGAAAATTCTCATTGCATCTTTCAAGTTTCCTCTCACCGGATCCATTATCTCACTTTTTTCTTGGCTTCTCACTTCCATTGTCATTTAGAGGAGATAGTGCAGACTGGCATGTGACTACACCTCACAATTTAGCTGACATCATTTAGCCATATCTTCCTCATCTGGCTATCGTTTGCCACTCATTGGTATTCCCTATACCCCATATAGGTTGTGACAGGGTAAATTCCCACTTTTTCTCTTACCTTTATGGTGTCTCCTTTCAATATCTCTGGATCCTGCTTTGTGGCAAGTGGTGCCTGTCCAGGCATACTTAACTTTAAATCCACACCATGCAGCCGTACAGGCCTTTAATGCTCATTGAAGAGATGGGGTGCCCCTCAAGACTACTAGAAGTTGCCTTGCAGTATCTTGGTACAACCTGGTGTGGGCCTTTTTTATGAAGCAACTCTTGGACTATCATGAGTAAAGCAGTGTCAGAATTGCTGCCCATCTCTCTAGTCCTAGTTGAATAAACAGGGACTGGACTGCTTTTCAAAATAGGGTTTTCATGCTCATCCATTGCACTGTCTTATGTTAATGCATTCCTCCAGACTTTCCACCTCGTTACCCCCTCTCATCCAGTAATGTAGGAAGTCCTTGCCTCTTACCAGTTTCTAGCCACTAGGGTGATGGACCATGGAGGCTTCTGCTGATTGTGGCTAATTCCACTGAGTTGCGAGTAGGGTGGTGGTGTTCTGTTGGTGTAGATGGTAAGTACTCTCCTCCTGTCATGGACTGGATGACAAATTCCTGATGCTGCCAGGTTTTGGACTAAAAAAAATCCACCACATGCAGTTCACCCCTCCAGCTGGCTTTCCTTCATTCTACTCTTGCCTGGTTGTTGGTTCCAACGTGGACTGGTGTTGGATCAGCATAAGACCAGCCAACATAAGTTCTCACACATGTGGTTGGTAGGGACCCTCCTCCTACTGCCAAACAGACAGATTCGTGGTGCTGCCTGGTTTCAGACTGGAGTTCACCCACCATGTTTGCATTTTCTCTTCCTACAGTTACCTAGATGTTGGCCTGGTTTTGGTTGTGTACTGAGTCTGCACTTGTGTCTTGGCTGAGTTAGCAGAATGGAAATTGTTTTTCCCTTCTTCTTCCTGGACTTGAGGTAAAGATGGTTGGGACCCTTCTACTACTACAGACTGGAGAACAAGTATCTAATGACACCTGGTTTGGAATGGGACTTGACTCACCAAATATGGTCTGATGCACCCTAGCCACTCCAAGGTTGGATGTGCATCTTTTTTTTCTTTTCTTTTGCCTGATTTAACAACATGTATCTTGACAATGGCAGAAGAGTATACCTGTTACAGGTGAGGTGCAGTCTTCCATGAGTGTCACACTACATAGGGTTCTCTTCTGGATTTCCCTGAAGAGTACTCATCCAGGTAAATTTTGTGCTGGTCCCTCCACCATTTCAATGTGGAATTCTGGCTATTACGTGAGAAGAGGTAAGATATCGTATTGAAAGTAACATTTTCTTACACTGAAAATGTATTTCCAATAGATATTTACCTCCTTTAACACTTCCCACCTATCTTCCCCACTTCCAGTGCTTCTTTTATGCCTAATCTTGAAGTGAAGATTGGGTTCTACAGTATAGAGGGAGCCAGCTGCATTAGGGGTGTGTGCCATACTGGTGGAGAGTTGGCACGTGCTCATTTGCATGCTACAGTGTAACTATACCACATGTAAACATGTGAGGGTAGGTGGGAGCTTAAAGACTAATGATGAGCAAAATTTGTTCCTATATAGAGAGCAGCACAAATCAAGGAAAGGTCTCAAATACATTTTCAGTGTATAAAAAAGTTAACTTTCACAGAAGTGTTTTTATAAAAGATTTCTCTGTAAACTTGCAAAGCCTTTATTGAGTCATTCTGAGTAAAGGATGATTTTCATGTTAAAAATAGAAATACTTATTTTCGTCTTATAATTTTTGTATTTCATTTGCATAAGCTTTTGAACCATCTAAATAAATTCATCAAAAGTTTTTCTATAGAACTTTATATTTTCTCAACACTAACTCTAGTTAAATCAGTAACGTACACTGAAATAAGTTGAAAAATGTGAAATATAATAAATAATAAATTATCTTTTTTCTAGTATGACTATAGTTTAGAAAACACAATTATTTATTGTAACAGCCTCAATTTCTAATCTTTTCACATCTGTTTTGTTTAACCCTCTCTCCATCTTTTTCTGCTTATGTCAGTGTGGTATTACCATTATACCATTACTATAAAAAGTAGTTTTAAGTGTCATTGTCAGCAAAAAAAAAAGAAAAAAAATGCCCAGGTGAGTACTTTATTTCTTGTTTCTCATGTGTATTTACCTATTATTATAAACATAAATGTAAAAATAGGAAACATATTGTTAGATAAGGCTAGATTAGATGAAATAAATAATACTATAATAAAAAAAAAAAATTTTTCATGAGGTATGCTCATCTTAGTCACTAGTTTTCCTCTCTCTTGATTCCCAACTTCCTCTTCCACCCAGATCAGACTTGTTGAGCTCGTTGGTGATGTTTGTAATGTTTGGTTCCATGTGTGTCATGGTTTGAGCTCCTATGGTCATGCTTTTCCATCCACATGGGTTTTTCTACGTATTACACATGGACTTTCCTATTCCTTTCCCCACCTTTCAGCCTTTCATCTTTTTTCTTTCCTCCTACTATTCCCATCTATGTCTAACATCTCTTGGAAGCTGTGTTTGTCTCCACTTCCAACAGTTCCTCACTCAAAATTCAATATCTTATTCACTGGTGAGGGGGGGGGGGCAGTTCCACTGGCATCTGTCTGCAACCTATGGAACTAAGAGTTACTAGAATTCGCACCTGTTCTACTCAATCTGAAAGTGAGGTTTAATGTTTGGTGACCATGGCTTCATAGGGTCTGTTTATTTATCCCTTTGGGCCACATGCATTTGCATTTCCTCAGTTTGACCTTGGTAACCAATTTGACTGACATCGTCTCCCCCCCCCAAATCTAAATTACCCCTACTTTTTTTTTCTAGAATGACATCAAATGTATCATGAAACTACATTCATTTATCCTAAATAGCTTTATACTCTTATGTTATACATCTGTTTATAATTAAATTTTATTGTTTTATTGCCCTTTGAACCATGTCTTACTACTATCTGCACCATTATAACTTGTAAATCACTTGGGGAACATGCAGCTCACATTACACTATCATCGAATTACATTTTCCTATGAGCTTTTGTATGCATGCCTCATAAAACATTTTTATTATATTATTATTATAACTTATTTTACCTAACCTAAT